TTTTGAATTTGTTTTTTTGTGCCATATTCATCTAACAATGGTGTATTCTTTCTTACCTGGAGCCTGACTGGACATACCGGTATCATCTTGTTGGTAAAAATTAATAACGTTTGACTTTATCTGATCCTTGATAGCAAGATCATCTCTGTTCTTTTAAATCATCAGTTGTATTCTTTCCTGCATATTGATTGTATATCTCCATGAACGAATAAAACGGTTCAAAGGTCAGGTATATATTACATCCCTCTAAGCAGCTTTGCCACAGACACAGATCGCCTCCGCCTTGTGGTCTGGCCCCTCGTTCTTCCATGCTTGACCCTCTTTCTTCCATATCCAATTCCTCAAAAATCATCGGAAACATCAGTTGCAGACGAAGTAGATGCGGATTTATCCTCTGAATAACAACCATGAAGTATCTGGTTTAGCATTAACTGTAAACGAGGTGGCAGATTGCAATAAGGGTACGAACCTGGAGGCAAATTCTTACTTTTATAATATCTCCTAGCTGTCATCCAAGCTTTACATCCAAGACTAACCATATCATTATCAACGTCTGACAAAATCGCTTTGTGGTCTTCTTTAGTAATGTACCGGATACTGTTCTGTACATTCTTACAACTTTGAACATCATTCGCTTTCGGCATTCCAGCTAGATTTCATACTAGTTTAAATCTGTCAAATGTTAACTTTTCCGTAGTTTTGACATAAGCATGACAATGACCATTTCTACCGGTCATCCCCCACTCATTTCCGGCGACAAGATTTTGACCAAACTTCCAATTGTTCTATCTCTTCTGAATTTCATACTTGATAGCTTTTTGAAATGTTAAAAAGAAGTTAACTCCACCTTTTTCTCTTGTTTGTTTCGTTTTTTTGATCGATCCATCAGCTGTAGGTGTAGCATCCTTCAAATGTTGCTTTGTTTTGATGTGTTTTGTCCAATTACTGTAAGCCACATCCTTTTTTCACTTCTCGCAATGCTTTGGAGGCCTTGGAACCATGTTCGTACTTCTAAGGCGTCGCGTATTACTAGTATTACTATTATACGCGACGCTATAAGGCTATGAACTACGAATCTCAATTATGACGTTATTACAATCGCGTTGTTATGCCGTCTCCACCACGACGTCAATTGTTCATTAAAGCGACGTGAAAGGGAGCTTAAAGATGGTGTATTCTTTCTTACCTGGAGCCAGACTGGACATACCGGTATCATCTTGTTGGTAAAAATTAATAACGTTTGACTTTATCTGATCCTTGATAGCAAGATCATCTCTGTAGAAATATCAAGATTAAATTTTTTGGCAAGTTTTTAACAACCTGTAACTTTTTTTGGACTACATGGCAGCTGTTTTTACGGCTCTGTTCAGTGAACTTGGTGACATAGTATTATCTAAAAGTCTTTCCAATGATGTTCTGACTGCATTATGAGCTTTATTTTGAGCTTTTTTCTCAGCCCTGAAAAAATAATTGCCGTCTCCATCACGTCGTCAATTGTTCATTAAAGCGACGTTAAAGGGAGCTTAAAGATGGTGTATTCTTTCTTATCTGGAGCCTGACTGGACTTACCGGTATCATCTTGTTGGTAAAAATTAATAACGTTTGACTTTATCTGATCCTTGATAGCAAGATCATCTCTGTAGAAATATCAAGATTAAATTTTTTGGCAAGTTTTTAACAACCTGTAACTTTTTTTGGACTACATGGCAGCTCTTTTTACGGCTCTGTTCAGTGAACTTGTTGACATAGTATTATCTAAAAGTCTTTCCAATGATGTTCTGACTGCATTATGAGCTTTATTTTGAGCTTTTTTCTCAGCCCTGAAAAAATAATTACCGTCTCCATCACGACGTCAATTGTTCATTAAAGCGATGTTAAAGGGAGCTTAAAGATGGTGTATTCTTTCTTACCTGGAGCCTGACTGGACTTACCGGTATCATCTTGTTGGTAAAAATTAATAACGTTTGACTTTATCTGATCCTTGATAGCAAGATCATCTCTGTAGAAATATCAAGATTAAATTTCTTGGCAAATTTTTAACAACCTGTAACTTTTTTTGGACTACATGGCAGCTCTTTTTACGGCTCTGTTCAGTGAACTTGTTGACATAGTATTATCTAAAAGTCTTTCCAATGATGTTCTGACTGCATTATGAGCTTTATTTTGAGCTTTTTTCTCAGCCCTGAAAAAATAATTACCATTTTTTTGACGTGATAAACTAATTATTTGCTTGAACTGCTGACAGATTTTTAAGGGATGTTTTTGTAATTGCAGATAAACTGGAAGTCAATTATAATTTTCAGTTGATAAAATTAGTGACGTAAATAATTTCACGAAATTGGAGATCTAGTTTCTCTATAAGCCCTGATTGGCAATAAATCATTTTATAAGATCTGCTCTGGAAATAACAATATTCTGAATAATCTCTATTTTCATGATATCACCTTGTATTTTAGATTTCGGGGAAGAGAGGGTTTGATTCTCCCAAATGTACAGGCCTAGGGTGAAACAGACACTTTATTTAGAAATTGGGATTGAGGGTCTTGTTACTGGGTTTTGTTCTGATCTGATTCTGATCTGAAATTAGAAAAAATAACTCGATATGTATAGTATCTATTAAGTGCTGATTGTTTTTAGTTTACTTTGAACAATATTATCATTTAAGTTCTTTTTTGAATATGCAACTATAATTTCTTGCATGAAATTAAATATATTACATTAGAATGTTCCCATGTTAGATGTTCCTGGAACGGTTACCTTTTATTCGTAGAGTTGCTTACAAAGTAATGAGTTTCTGATTTAAAGGAACATGTTTTGCATCTACTGGACAAACATGGAGCACTCCTTAAATCTGGAGGTAGGCCTACTTCGGCATAAAGCCTGTTTTTAGCTGCTATCTGTGCTAAAGTGGAATTTTTTATGTTTCGTAAAAATCGTTTAGAGTACCCACGCTCTTTCAGTTCTGAGAAAACAATAGTACAGGCTTGGTTGAAATCAGAAGATCTTGTGCAAATTCGGTGAAATCGTAAAACTTGTGATATAATTTTACCAGAAAAGGTATATTTTGGGTGAAAGGAGCTCTTGTGCAAGAGTGGATGAGTATCAGTTTCTTTGAAATACACTTTAATATCCAGTTTATTTGTTTCTGTTTATTGAATTCCCCCTTAAAGACAATGGTATCGAGAAAGTCTATGGTTTTGTACTAACGTTTGCGGTTAGTTTGATGGAAGGATGGTGGTTGTTGAGTATTTCAAAGAATTCCAAAAATGTTTAAATAAGTCCAAACCATAAAAATGTCATCCAAAAAGTCGCCCTAGGGGTGCCATCGGCCATTTTCAAAATGGCAGCAAAATGGCGTCTATTTATTCACCAAAAGTCAGACGATTCTACTGTCGGGGTCAAGGAATTCTAATATGTCAAATTCATTCTGATCCAAAAATCCAAGATGGCGGCAAAAAATTTTTTTTTCGCCTTGAATTGGAGGATTCTTCTCATACATGTCTTATATGTCTTTTATAGGGATTTCGGGGTCAAGGAATCTAATATGTCAAAATGAATCTGATCCTAGAATCCGTTCGTCATATAACTGTATAAATAGCTCCCCTCGCTGTCATCTTTTTTACTATGACGTCACACTGTGACATCACACTCTATGACATCACAATAATTAGGACGTCACAACATAAACCGCAATTTCATCTGAACTGACTTGTTTTCTTGTAAAAATTACAATTTTTTTTCCATATGGCAGATTTCATTTTAATATGCGCCATATCAATGTTTTTATTTCACTTGCAGATATTCTGATTACTGTAAAATTATCAAAGGTTTGCTTGCATTCATTCAAATTAGAATGATTACAGCTGATACTGTATATAATCCTATGAATATGAGGGAAAACAGAAAATATTTCCAATTCGAGTTTTTATTTATATTGGCTATGAACTATTGTTTTCGAATTTTTTTATTGTAAATATAAATATGATCAATAAATGTACGGGTGCATACATCGCTTGTTGATTTTTTCTTCTTATTCTATACAGTAGTCGATTACAATCTTCGCAAACTTTACAAGACGATCTGTCCAACGCATCTCGTGAACGTTCGCAACACGTACATCTCCATTATTTCGTTTCTGTGAAAGAAGGTTCCGGTTTTTAAATTACCATAGCTTATGAACAATTTACTCCGCGAAGCGGTCGGTTTAGATCAATCAATGATGTATTCTGAAGTCGTACAAAAATACAGATTACGATCGCAAATGTAACATTAAAATTTATTCTGTCTGAATTTTTTGTGACGATAGCAAAATCTAAGTGTTTATCACTTTGTAATATTTCAAGTAAATAATGTTGAAATAATGTTGGAAGAAGTCCGGTCACAGTGAGCATGTCAGCTTCCTTTTCGACAATATGGTATATAATCAAACATCGGGAAAGAAAAGGGTAATTATATTTTGATTGCATTCTGTCCAATTTCCTTACAATCCAAAAACATCCACCCATGACAATTTGTTTTGTCTTTGGGTTATAAATAACTGTTTTCAGTGAACAATGCCAACAATTCTATATATTTATGGGAAAACGTCGTCTGCCTCATTGCGTGACCTTTGCGAAGTCAGAGGTCGATGTGATAGCCCGTTTTCAGGATTGTAGAGGCTATGTTTATGATAAAAAAGACAGACACAAATTAACTACGTCACATTAAAAGACCGAAATTGATGACGTTTCCCATTTTGAAGACAGACAACCTAGTTCAATGCAAACGTCAACTTATCAAAAGACAGACATGATTTTAGTCAAAGAAATGGTGCTAACGTTTCGATTTATTTTTTACAAAAAGACAGATTCAGCGAGGTGATTTATTTATTGTTAGAGGGAATGATACATGTGAAAGATTTATGATATATATTGAACTCTAACATTAAAATACATTATGCCAATTACGGTAGTTATTGAAAAGTTAATAATAATTTAATAATTAATTAATAATTTTTTTCTTCACATTCCAGCACAAATGAAGATCTTCATCATATCGCCAAAATTAAAGTTGAAAGACCCTGAAAAATATGAAGAATATTTGTTATAACAGAGGCAAAGGTCTAAAAGATGTCGAGACGAATTAAAAGAGAAGGAATATAATGATCCAGAAGCCATAAAAAAACCATATGTCAACCATGTCATAGTAAATCTTGTGAAGAAAATTCCAAATCTAAGTAATAAAATATTTGTTCCAGAAAGTAAGAAAAATAAATTAAATAATGAAACGCAAAAAATATTGAAACCTATGACTCTTGTTATTAACCACAAAATAGTATCCAGGTTAGTGAATAATGTTTGCAATGGAAGAACTGTAAACAAGTATGTACCCTCGTCTATCGCATGAAGATATATTATCCCGTCAGTTACCCAACAAACGTTATGTTACAAAAAATGGACCTGGCTATGCTATGCAAATTTCCATTAAAGCTGCATATTTGATATTCAAAAAAGAAAATCCAACAATAAAGGTGGGACTAACCAAATTTGGATTACTGCGGCCTAAAAATGTGCGCTTGATTTCAATGAGCCACAGAGAGTTTTGTGTATGTGTTTATTGCATTCAAGTTATGTATAAACTCTTGGTTCTAAACCGATTAGTTTATCAAGATAAACAAATTCAAGTTGAATATGCTGTCCTTGATGTTTTGCTGTGCCAGAAAAGTGAAGGTGCCCGGTTTCACAGGAAAATATTATAGCATTTTCCTAGGTACATTGAAACATTATATAAATAAAAAACATACTGGAAAAACTGACCGTCCATTTGTTTTTAACAATGTAGAGTCTTTTGTAGAACATTTTCAGACAGTCGCCAAATGGGGATTTCCTTTTAACTCTTTTGACCTAAGATTACTGGCAAAAAACTACCTTGATTCTGAAGGTTGAAAGGTTACACAGTTAAACAATAATTTCCCATCGGCGGAATGGGCTAATTCATTTATTAAACGACAGTCTGGTGAAATCACATTTAGATTTTGCCAAAATATTAAGCGTTCAAGGTCCAGTATAGGATCAAGAATAGTAAAATCTTATTTTGATGAACTGAAGAAGTCGTTAACAGATGAATCAGGGGATTTTATACCCACTACTCACATAAACAAATATGATGAAACAAATCTTTCTGATGACCCTGGTGTGAAGAAATGTGTGTTGCTGAGAGAATTAAGGACAGCAGTAAAACTTAAATATCTATTATGTTTAGTGGATCGGCTGCAGGTAAAATGCTTCCTAGTTATGTAGTCTACAAGGCAGAACACATCTGGACAACATGGATAGAAGGTGGCCCCAAAGGCACACGGTATAATAGGAGTATAAGTGGTTGGTTTGATGCCTGCTGCTTTGCAGACTGGTTCGAAAGCATTTTGATACCTGGCATTAAAAATTTGCTTGGTCCTAACGTTGTTATTGGAGACAACTTAAGTAGCCACTTCACCTCTAGGGTTATTAAACTAGCTCATGAGAATGATATGAGAATTGCTTCTCTTCCTGCCAACTCAACTCACTTGCCCCAACCACTACATGTGGCATTTTATGGACCTTTAAAAATGTACTGGAGAAAAGTTATTGACAACTGGAAAATCAAATATCTGGTTTAAGAAAATGTGGAATTATGCCATTTAGTCCTGACATTGTCCTTCAAAGGTTACCAGGTAGTAAAGAAGCGGTGGACACGGAACAAATTAATGAAAGGGTATCTAATACAGTTGTGGGATTGTTGAAAAAGAGGAGTTGATGATGAGAGTCAAAGGTCAAGAAGAGAAAGAGGCTAAATGTAACCCCTGGAAAGAGTATTAGTTTTGAAGAGATAGGACCAGGTGTGAGTTTAGAGAAAGATTTGAATGAAAATGAGAAATTGTCAAATGAAGAAGTGGAGATTCAGACACTGGCAATGTTCAGGTTGACAACACTTTTGATAAGAACACTGGATAGGAAGATCTTATCTCTCAAATTCAAGTAGGCAGTTATATAATGGTGAATTATGAAGGATCAAAATTTCCAAGAGAGTTTAGCTACCTTGAAGCTTTTGTTGCTTCAGTTGTTCCTTTTTCTGCATAGACAAGTGTTTGGTTGTTTTCAGAATTTCTAGAAAGTCTCTTTCCAGACGTTTGACATCTTGTACAGCTTTTGAGGATCTTGCCGTCTTCCAATACACATTTTTGTCTTCAATACTCATGTCTATAAATGAAAAGTTTTGCAAAATTCGACTCGCATCTTAACTTAGTAACAGGTGCAAATTTCAGTTTGTCAAGGTCAACAAAAAAATAGCTGACAGCTGGCGACGTAGAGCTTCAGCGATTTCCTGTAGACAAGTACCGATTAGTTTTCCCTTTCCTGTTGAAGTCTTAGCAAAATCAGTTTGCAGATTATCCATTGCTTTCGAAGAACATCTTTAAATCACTCCATCCAAATCTCACCCGTCGATTCCAAGTTTATCCATCCATCAGAGGGTTTATGAGAAGTTCTCCAAATAGTGAATACATTTCGCTGCAGCATAAAAACCAAGATTTTGTTATAAAGTATAGACGATAAAGCCACGGAAGGAATTACCAGCGTTAATTTTTTTTTGCTAAAAGCCAGTCGTTGTACTCTGAGTAAAGGGACAGTGTGCTGCATGGCCTGGAGACTAAAGTATTGCTACTGCAATCAGACCTGTTTCATTTAAACTGGTTGAGTTGTTTTAACGGATGTTCGCGGCATTGGGTTTCTGCTGAAACTAGATATTGCGCAACCATATTCAAATTCATCATTGAGACATCTTCCAAATAGTTACCAACATACTAGGCATGACAAAGTGTCACTGTCATTTGCCAACATCTGAACACACTTCTCTCCAGGTTTGACCAAATATCGTATTTCACACTTTTACTAGTGGTCAATTTATAATCTGATAAGTACTGTACAATGCATTATTGGCTCTTGAATAGACTCATATCCTTCCTTGATCTTTACTTTAGGAAATCTGGGTCTGTCACTCAACACACTACTTGTTGATCCATCTTTACTTTGTCCTGCATCTATTCGTATCTTTGCATCCGGAATGGACTCCTTATCATTATCAACATCTATATCTCTCTCATCAATGCCATCATCGTCCGCAAGGTCATAGTCTAGTTCCATGGTTATTGTACTGGTTGCTTCTTGAGCTAGCTTTTTGTTAATAGAGTTCTGTCGTTCGAGTAGTCTCTTGGTCTGTTTTGTTCAGTTTCGTGGTACTGTTTCTGAACATGTTGTAACATAATCACCGCAGCAATTGTCGAGCCAGAATGCATCATCCTCAGATGTCATCTTTACACCAAATTACATCAGCCGATTTTGCTACATTAAACATTCGATTGTTGAAGTTAGTTGTTCGCTGGGTCCAGCTTTTTGGTAATGGTCTGTCAGTCCTCTTCAATTCTTTCAGAAGATTTGGGAAGGAATTCATGAATCTAACAATGACAGATATGCCCCACAACCCCCTCATTTCAGAGGCATTTAAAAAAAAACCCAAAAGACAATGACCTTTTAATACAGAATTTAAATCAAATACATGTTTAGTGAAGTAATTTTATTGAAGGAACAGACATAGAAACTGGAAAAAGAAGCTGATATGCACACTAACATAAATCATATCTGCTTACATCTGCACAAGACTGCATTTTGGAAATTTACATAATGCCTAGCCAATTTTGTAATATTGTCAATATTATTGGGGTATCTCCTTCACATTGACAATTGTTTTAACTCATTTACCTGAAAATGTCAGATATATTAAAAGGTTAATTTTTCATCAGCCTCATTGCCAGTGGTCATGCATTCATATTCATGTCGCATGGTTCTGACAATAGTGGGTGGATCTGATGAAGCTTGGCCTCAATTGTTGGCAGATATAAATTTTCACAATAATTTTTTTTCATTGGGAGATTGAACCACTTTAATTTTTAAAACAGACGCAGTATAGCAAAGAGCCGCTTATTCACTTTTTGTGTCGTCCTTTTCCTCTCTTTTAACAACTCGTTGTGTAGTCGCATATTGCACTCACTTTCCAAGTAAAACCACTATGTAAAGAATTGTTTTGGCCAGTAGCCCATTATAAAAGTAATATCGTTTCAAATGTCAATTGTTTAAAAGGAAAAGCATATAAAAAAAATCACGTAAAAATGTATCAAAATTAGTTCCGAACTCGGCATCATCCTTTCCATTTAACCCGGCCGCCATGTTGTTTATAATGGTAACGTCAGAAGTTTTCCCCTATGACCTTTTGACCTGCACCGCCATATTGAAAATGACGTTAGTGTTGATACGAGTATACCGTAGGAAGGGCAGGAAGAACCAGATCTGGGATAACTAGCTTTAGTTCTACTAAAAGCTGGTCGTAAAGACCAAACTGCCGACGCCTCTCGGTCATTGGTCTGACCAATATCTTTCGATGACCTCCTCCCCTCCTTTGTCATAGGACACGCAACTGGTAGAGTAATAATTTCATGAGATTCGGCTGATGTTGGAGAACGGCTGTAAAATGGTTCGTACCGTTATCAGGTCCGTTAATTAATATACTTGTAAAGGGCTACTATTATTTCCCATTGTGTGTTTTTTTTTAAATTAATTTGTACAGGGCTACTATTATGTGTTGCCATTCTACCTACACCTATTTGGTAAGGCTCCTAGCTAACTAATTACGCCATACAAAACAAACAGTCCGTTGTCTTTGCGGAATGTGAATTCTTTAGATGTTTTTAAAAACAACTCAAGACGCGTTTCTTTCTGTTTTTAAGGATTTCTTGTAGCTTTTATTTAATCTATATACTTTTAACTGACTGCATTCATTTAAGACTGTTTTGAACTGCTTGTTTTTTTCGTATTAGTGGGTGCTTTGTATTTTATACTTAATGTGAACCGCTTAGACTAGGTTCACAGTTAAGAATCCTTTCTACAAGCTGGTTCTTGGCCAAACCCCTTGGTATTTATTTTTCCCGGATTATCTGTACCCATTTACAGCTGGGTCACTGGAATTGCGAGTGGAGACTTATTCAAGGTCATCGGACTGCGCAAATTAACCGTGTTCAACATTTGTGATCATTGTGCTCTTAATTGCCTGTGGTGTTTGCCTCCCGTGGTAATTCTGTGCTCAGATCACTGTAAACATTAAAGAAACTATGAATACAACATTTTATCAATTATAAAAGTGCGAAACAATAAAAAGAAGTGCATGGGATAAATATGTTTATAATATCAGTATCATTACGTCAATAACAGGTTTTTCCACAATGGGGGTTGTTTTCCAGTTTATAAAATGTTGAAATAGCGTGGTTTAGATGGCGATTTATGTAGATTAAATAATGGTGTTTAATTTGACACTGTAAAACGCACAATAAAGAATTGATATCTTAATATACATCAATGTCATATAATATCTCTATACAAACTGCATCATGATTTTATAATAGTCCTAGTGACCTTGATCTGCGGGATATTCAGGGTCAATTTTCACGATTCAAAAAAGTAAATACTAATTTTTAAAAATATTGGAATATCTAACATTTACATAGTATAAGATAGTATAAAAGATATTTTTGTGTAAAATAAAGCTAATTGAGTAAATAGCTGATTGGGTTTGTAAAAATGTAACAACCCCATATTTGATGAAATTGATTACACTACTGACATTAATAGACAAGAAAACTACACAAAATAAACAGAAACTACATACGCGTGTCGTATAAACTGGAGGACAAGATTTCAGTTTAATTATACAAATGATGTTCAACCAAATATCTCCATTACAAGAATTTTCGACGAAAACAACCAACAGATTGATACAAAACCCGAAAACAAAATATTGGCGAAACAGCGGAAGCAGCTTATAAGTGAGTAGGTATTTCATAATGAAAAGGTGTCTAGTGCTATATGATATTCTCGGACAAAATTTAAAAACGGGTATTGATCATAACTTTGAAATTTCTTCTGCATTTATATAATTAAGTAAAAAAAATAATAATACATGTTATAATAATCATAAATTTAATATATTCCTTTCATATCTAGAAGTAAAAAAAATTATAATAACAATTAGTTATTTCAATACACAATATTTTAAACATGGTTACTCCCCTTGAGTTATATTCACTGATTTGATTTATTTGCCTATAATCAGTCAGCAAGGTAGTTATCTTTCAAGAGGTTTTTAACGTAATATTAGCATATTTGTTATTTGTATGTGACATAGTTTCTTCTTGCTTTGGCAACTGATCATATGGTTTAATTACATGGACTCGTATCTTCCACAACATCAATATAATCGTTGTTTGTAAACAGAACGTCTTCCTGTAGCTCTGAAACATGTTCTTGTTGCTTAGTAATATCCTTTTCTTGTTTTGGAAGATGTTCGTAAGGTCTATAGTCACTGGAAGTATTGTTTCGTGGATCAGGTCTGCTATAAACGTTATTTGGAGGAATTGTGTTGAGTTCGATTTCATTTTCCGGACTCGAACCTTCCACAACAATAACGTAATCGTTGTCTATATGTGGTAAATCTTCCTGGTGTTCTGTTAGGCTGTTTTCTTGTTTTGGTAGATGTTCATATGGTTTTAAATCACTGGAAGTATTGTATCTTGAATCTAAACTATTATACACTGTATTTGATAAGGTGTCGGTTGTATTCTGATGTTGAATGTGACTGGGTCTATCAGGTATCGTGGCAAGGTAAATATTTCTATCACTATCTCTAATATTCTGATCCAATACGTTCTGGTCGTTCTGGGGTTTCTGATTTCTCCGTTTCCGGAAACTGAAAATAAATTCACACCATCAATGGGATGCATTTTCAATGTAGTGCGCTGGGGCTGAATTCTTGTTTCATTTCAAGAAAACCAAATCTTATAACTTATAACTGTCGCAGAGAGTTTTTGTCAGCGACATATTACATCAATACACAGAACGGGATAGCCCCGAAGAAATGAGAATTGGTATCTAAGGACTAGATTTTATCGCATCTATTTCTCGTGGGTCATATTATAACGGTAACTGTCGTAAATACAATTAAGTACCTTGTGAAAATTAGAACATGTAAAATCAGAAAACTTACCATACGACTATAACAATAATTACAGACACTAGAACTACACCACTAACAGTACAGCCTACTATCACAGGTACTAAAACAGAGATATCATTTATAATATAATATTAACATTAAAATAACAATATATACTAAAACTACACCACCAACAATACAGTCTACTAACACAGGTACTAAAACAGAGATATCATTTATAATACAATATTAACATTAAAATAACAATATATACTAAAACTTCACCACTAACAATACAGCCTACTATCACAGATACTAAAACAGAGATATCATTTATAATATAATATTAACATTAAAATAACAATATATACTAAAACTACACCACCAACAATACAGTCTACTATCACAGATACTAAAACAGAGATATCATTTATAATATAATATTAACATTAAAATAACAATATATACTAAAACTACACCACCAACAATACAGCCTACTATCACAGATACTAAAACAGAGATATCATTTATAATATAATATTAACATTAAAATAACAATATATACTAAAACTACACCACCAACAATACAGCCTACTATCACAGATACTAAAACAGAGATATCATTTATAATATAATATTAACATTAAAATAACAATATATACTAAAACTACACCACCAACAATACAGTCTACTAACACAGATACTAAAACAGAGATATCATTTATAATATAATATTAACATTAAAATAACAATATATACTAGAACTACACCACTAACAATACAGCCTACTATCACAGGTACTAAAACAGAGATATCATTTATAATATAATATTAACATTAAAATAACAATATATACTAAAACTTCACCACTAACAATACAGTCTACTATCACAGATACTAAAACAGAGATATCATTTATAATATAATATTAACATTAAAATAACAATATATACTAAAACTACACCACCAACAATACAGTCTACTAACACAGGTACTAAAACAGAGATATTTAAAAAATCCATATTTGATACTTTTGTTCGTACCGGATATAACAAATTGTTTTCGAGCTTAAAGAGTGTGCAAATATGTAAAAGATATTTATATAGTACAAATATTACTTACGATATGAATTGCCCTCTGGTACCTTACTTCTGTCTGTAGTTATAGTAGACTCAGACTGTCCAGATGTTCCTGTTGTACTGTCACTCTGTAATCTATTACCTCCAGCAGCTGTTGTTGTCTGAGTTGTTACCATTGTGGTTGTGAAAGACCTATCTGTTGTACTGTCACTCTGTAAGCTATTACCCCCAGCACTTGTTGTTGACTTAGTTGTTACCAGTGGGTTCGTCCAAGGACTTCGACAAGTTAAATTAAGTTGTGGACCTGGAAGTTAACACCAAAAATTAAAGTGTCGTTGATATTCAAAAGAACTGTTTGGGGTAAAATACGGCTGTGCGATATACTAGTATCACGACAAATACCGGTATAGGAATTTATATCGTTAGTAATATCGCCTGATTAAAAATACCGAAATATCGCCATAACGAGATATATGGTGGTTATTATGATATATTGTACAAATTTTGTCCAGATAAAATACTCTAAACAATTTTAACAAGTAACTTAATATTTGAAACAGATGGTTTTTTTCTTGATTTTAAAGATTAGGGTGTTTTTATTGATATATATTGTTTATTATTTCTAGATAAAAAATAACCATCATTTTGTTTAAAAAACCAGTAAAAAACATTATTTAAAAATAAGGTAAGAGTTACCAGCACAGCTTTTTAAAACAAAGACAATACAATCAAACTTTAAGCATATATATTTATATTATACATATTAACAGAACGTGAACCATTCAGAGTTTCACACTATGCGATCTTCAGACAACTGCCCTATTTTCAGCCTGCGTCACTACTGAAGTCGGACAAGTAGAACTTTTTCTCATGTCTACAATATGTCTCACGTCTCTATAAAGTTATAAGTATTTGTTTAATAAAACATGATTTTCTTACCATTGGTTTCAGTTTTGATTTCAAAATCGAATTTAAAACCTAACGTGGTGTCCAAGTCCTTCAGCAAATTAATATAAATATGATCTGTTGGTGTCATAGTAAATGAGAAATTATCGATATAACTGGAACAGCTGTGTCCTCTTGTGTCTGTTTTAAAGTTAATCTCCAGTTTGTAACGGCAACCAGCAGGACTCATATTTGTCTTAAAATTTACAGTTGATTTGCCCTCGCCACTAACCAGTGCGACTGAACATCCACAAGATTCAAAACGTTTTAGGTCCCCAGTTAGACTAACTAGTTCTCCAATCTGAGATTCATTAGAACAAATATCGACACTTGATACTGGAATAGAAGGTTGGATTGAATACAAAAAATATTTCACAACACTGACTATATATCGCCATTTTCAAACTTATAACACATTATTAGGGCTTAGGAAATGCTAAACACTTTCATATTGTTCGCCAACTTTTTTCACTTTAATCCATGTTACTAACCATTTAGACTCCCCCCTTTCCGAAATCATAAAATATTCATTCTGTGTTTTTCTTAAGCGAATAGATTTGGTATTCGGGAGAGATATAGTGAATTTCCATTATGTCACGCGATTTATTATACCGGTCAATCATCATGCAGACACATTGTTTTTGGTTTGTAAATATGAACACACGCACACACGAAACTCCTGAATAACTTATATGAATACAGGTCTCATATTCTCGAAACAATCTTAGCACTAGGATGTCCTAGGTTCTTATCTTCTAACATTGATTCTAGGACGTTCTAGGGCTAAGATCGTTTCGAGAATACGTGTCCAGGAGAATGAAAAGGGTAGTTTTAATTGGCTAATATCCTTCAATAATCCAGCATACATAGCCCCAGAACAACCCGGTATACATTAGTCTATGTAATTTAAGCTTTTAATACACTTACCTACAGATATTATATAGAATAAATTAATGATGATATTCACTATTAAGAAAATTAGGAATCTCATAATTAAATTTGTTAGATTTCGTCAACAATCTGGTCTTGACAATGGACAGCATATGATTCAAACTGTCGTTTTACCAAAAGTATTTTACTAAGTGTTCCTTACATGGTAGGGCCCCCTTTATCATAGGTAATGAACTACACACTTTACGGATGATATACCTCTAACTTCCTTGTCAAAACCCATTGATGCATAATTACTTACCTTCAGTCGTGTTTTCACCTCAACCTAACCACCTAGTGCTTTTCAAATTCAGTTGGTTGTCAACTTTTAGTCCAACTTTGGCGTCCTAGAAAAACCAAAAGAAGAAAGTAAACATACAGTGACGTTTTTACTGGTGGACAATTAGGCTCCCATTCCTATTTTCTATGGTGCCTGTACTGTGAGCCTCCCTTGGCCACTTCTCGCCCCCTTGTTACTACAATAGAGGTTGTTACTACAATAGGGGTTGTTACTACAATAGGGGTTGTAACTACAATAGGAGTTGGTACCACAATAGGGTCTGTTACTACAATAGGGGTTGTTACTACAATAGGGGTTGTTACTACAATAGGGGTTGTAACTACAATAGGAGTTGGTACCACAATAGGGTCTGTTACTACAATAGAGGTTGTTACTACAATAGGGGTTGTTACTACAATAGGGGTTGATACCACAATAGAGTCTGTTACTACAATAGAGGTTTTTACTACAATAGGGGTTGTTACTACAATAGGGGTTGTTACTACAATAGGGGTTGTAACTACAATAGGAGTTGGTACCACAATAGGAAGTGTTACCACAATAGGGGTTTATACCACAATAGGGTTTTTTTTTTATCAGAATAGGGGATATTACAATGATAACGGTTGCTATCCCCCTTCCCTTCAAGAAATGTTGAAATGATAAGGTAAAATTAGCGATTTATACAGATAAAGAAAACATCTTGTTACTCAAAGTCAAAAATAATTTTCTGTAATTTGACACTGTAAAAGAATTAAAATTTTAATGAGCATCCTATATCTCTATACAAACTGCATCACGATTTTATAATAGACTTAAGTTTAATGTCGCCTCGCTGGATATTCAGAGTTAATTTTCACGACTCAAAAATTTATAATAATTTTTAGAAAATATTTGGATATCCTACATTTACTCAGTATATTTTAAGATATTTATTAAGAGTGGAAATAACTCATTAAAAAGTAGATCGAACTGTTTTTGAAAACTTTATAACCCCCTCACCAATATCACCATTTTATAATCAGACGTCTGTGGTTCCTGCAATTCCACTTAAACTAAATGTTTGATGACGTCACTAATCGCAAAACAAGGCCCTTCGCTTTCAGTAATTGTCAATAAACACTAACTTTTATCAATGGTAACAATAGTATATCATGTCAGTTTCCATCATCTGCTTAATAATAGCACATACCCCAATATTAGTAACAAAATAAGATCGTTTGGACAAAACCTTTATTAATCAGGAATTTAGGAATTAAAATTCTAAACACGTGGGGAAGCCACCGTGGCTGTTTTTATAGCACGGAACTTTGTAGCCTCGCCCGCCTTTAAGCCATTATATCTTGGTGCAAATGATGAAACGTGCTATTTTTTATTTTTTTTTGCTCCAGCTTTCGTCTAGTGATTACCAAAGAGGAAGAAACTGACTCAATAGATAAATTACAATTTTAATAAAAACATTTTCTTTTTGATGACTCAATTTTATTTTAAACATCTCTCTTAAAGGGATAGGAAATCGCTGATCGAACGCTTGAGCTGTTCCATCCAGTTTTATAATCCTGCTTCATTATTTGGTGTATGTTACCATTTTGTTATTATGAATATGAATCATCATTATGAAACTGTATGCTCCTCATATCGCCTTTGTTGCCAACTTAAGTCTTGTCAAGAGTTTCACCGACTGGATGCGGGCATTAAAAACTTTAATTTTCACCTGAATTGTCGATACAGTCCTCTGATTATACATAATTTGGACTTCTCAAATCCGCAAATCTAATTTCAATAAAAAAAAATAGATATTAATATGTCTCTTCGAGTTTGACAAGTGCTGTGGAAATTTCGAAAGAAAATAAATAACGAGACTGATTCCACGTCTTCGAAATAAGTTGCATATGCACGAATCGAACTGTTACGTAGCACCTTACTTTAAACAACCCCTTTTGCATTGGTACTGAATTTTTCAAAAATATATGATTATATTGTACCAGAAATCATTTAAAAAATATGCAGAACGCCATCCTTCGGAAATCTGAAGCGGTCTTTAAATCTCCTTTCTACATGGTAAATATCTATAATTTGCTGTAATTGGTTGAAATAATCTTCCATTATCACAATTTCAATCGCAAACGTATATAAAGTACGGCTAAAGTCTGCTACCACCCTATCTTACACTTTACTTTAGTTTTGTCCACAAAACGCCCGAGTAAAGCATGACTTACATCAAAGATCGAGCGCAGCATACCTAAAGTCTGACTTAAGCTCGACTTTGAGTAAAGTACGACTAAAGTTCGAGCGCAGCATACGGCCTTAAGTGTGTTGCAGAAATGACAGTGAGGGATGTTACAGTCAGCATCCAAGTAGTTGTAAGTTTTACCACTATCTTGAGGCTTATGTGCGGGGTCCCTAATGATGGCTGAGGTTGGGAGATCGTTTAGTGAGGGGTTTGGGGAAAGCTTTGTTGCAGTCATTGGAACTGGATAGGATGTGCCAGTTTTCTCTGAGGATTTTGCTGATGAGGACCGATGTGGGGTTATAGTCTGTTATGAAAACTGGACGTTTGTTATCTGAGGGTGTTTTAGTTTTATTCAGCAACGTGGTCCGTTGGATAGTATCGGCTTTGGATCTATTAGATACGATGATATCTCTGGGATGGCCCCGGTTGAGATAGTGTTGTACCAAGTTGTCTGCGTGTTAGTTGTACCGGCCAAAAGACAAAGAGTCAGCTTCACTATCAACCAGCCTGCCAATAGTAATGCTAAAGCGGTAAACCTACCCGAGAACATCTTACCTCTCTACAAAACTGTTAGAAACATTTCTTCCAAGCTTGCCTCTCAGCCAAGCTGATACCGCCTTCCTTCAGACCAAGAATCTTCACTGGCAACACCATTTACCCCACAAACATCGCGGAGTCCAGAGCCCGCGCTACTAAAGAATTCTGTCTCGCCTCCCTAAAAATCCACATCCAACACCTGGAATCCCCGCAGCCCAAACCAACCTCACAAACCAAGCTACTCCAAGAATCGGAGCAGGCCATCAAAGCTGTCTTAGATAGAGAAATCAGCACGGGGAAATCCAGACTACAACCCCGCTTTGAACAACTCAGCCTTGATGCCCACCAAGATGACCCCCCCCCCCCCATTCACCGAATGGTCCAAGAAATTGTCCAAAATTTAAATTTCAATTGTAATGATTTGGGCACCAAAGTTGCGCCCAGCTTCGCTGTTAAGTTTCTTAACACTTTTTAATTATATCCCATCAATTTAACAAGTTTCACTGCAGACACATCAAAGAACATCTTTTCCCCCTTTTGTTATTTTTTTTCTCTATGCCCCTCTTTTGTCACATTCTTTCTTTTTTTTCTCTTTTGCAGGTCTTCTAGTTTTCCAACAGTTAATAGATAATCTAACCAAACCAAACCAACGACTACCAATCAACCAGAATTACCATGATCAGAACCAGTTTGGAAGAATGAAGGAGATCGAGTAACTCACGCCACACCATCTAGGGCCGAGTTTCACCGCCATGTCATTCGACCCGACCAGATCTAACGAATTATCAACAACCAAACCAACAACACAGAATCATCCAATGTGAACCAATCCAACTACCAACTACTACAACTACAAGTACAACTACCAACTACTACAAGTACAACTACCAACAACTATCTAGTTTGCGATATCAGCATCCACTGGAAGCAAACGTCAACTTGTAAACTACCAACCAACCATTTGCCTGTAGACATTGAGCACGTATGGATATATTAAGCCTAGCTTATTTGGAATTAATCTAACCTAGCTGAACGGTTGCTATTGAGAAGTTTCGTACACTTCTTGTCACCCGCCACATATCAAAACTGTACATGTAACGCCAGTTTTGTCCATGGCTTTGTTATTCAGTATTCAACTGACGTATAAAAAACGGACGATGACTTGACGTACCTATGTATGACCACGGCCTAACGTATGAATCATACGTTTCGTACGTCGAAAATGTTTGTGCATGTTCAAAACCTTTTTTTCCCTCATCAGCAGAATGAGGCCTTCACTAAATTATTATGTATAATAAGCACGGTACTTAGTATTTTCCAAGAAAACGTTCTAGTTCATCTATTCATCACACTATTTGAACGTGATTATTGTTTTTTATTGGAATCATGTCAGAAATCATGTCCAAAATGTTATATGTATTATAGGAGAACCGGGAGTTTAAGAACTGTTCTGATATAGCACAAACCGCTATATGTTCTTAAATTCTTCGCAACCGTTGTGGCTAAGAGAAGTTCCACATAGCCAAATGGGCATATGTATATATATATTAACCAGTACAAACGGTTTACCGGATTATTCGCGGTTCCAAATTAAAGTACTGTTCATTTATAGGCTCGGATTTTAACCATTTTTCATATCTTCGGGCTTAGGCAAAGACATCTTGAACTTGACGTATATCTGTGAGAATTTTGAAAGAGAACAATTTACCAACAGCTGAGATACTACCCGT